ACCCCCCCCCCCACACACACACACCCCCTTTATATTTATATATATATATATATGCTCCTCTGCGCATATATATATATATATATATAAGTAAAGGCTATAGCTATATGTATGCACCTCCTGTGCTCGTTGTTTCCCTCTCAGACTCTCGCTCGCTACCTACCTGGAAGTCGGACCGCAGCGGCTCATGATAATGCGCTTAATTGTCTCCAATCCGATCAACAGATGACACCGCGCGGTTTGTCCTCCTGCTGCAGCTCCTGCAGTAGATCATCAATGCCACACAGTCGGCGGAAACATCCCCCGAACTCCAGCATTAGGTCTCCAGCACAGACGCACCATTTGTTGCTCGGTATATGGGTTACAGGCTGTCCAAATGTCTCCCGATGGCGAGCGTCATCAACGCAAGGCGGTGTCACATCCAATCTCCCCCTCTTCCTCCCCCCCTCTCCCCCTCTCATGCAGCCAAGATCAAGACACAGTAACCTGCTGCAGCTTTGGCCCTTTTTCATGCACTGCAGCTGATTTTTACTGTCATTTGTTGTTTGTATTTTAGCGCAAATATTTGGTCAACAGATTAAACAGGACGCGCTCAGGGTGGATTTACTGCAGTCTGATGTCAACATCTGCAAAGATCCAAAGGTCCTCCTTTGATTTAAAAATACTTCCATCAGGACGATTTGACCTTATTGAACAAACATTTTGACACTTAGACATTTAGTTCAAGTACTATAAACATTTAATTAGTTCATAATGTACATGTAGCTACCTGTAAGCGGTTATAAAGACATTTTAAGTGTTTATTAATGTGCAGTATTTTTAATAATTATAACTTAATTATAACATAAAATTTAATAAACTTAACTTGTTTTACTATATTTTGTTTTTTACACAAGCGTCCAGTTATGCACAACTCACAGGTGGAATTGTAGTACATTAACACTTAATCTTATATCTGCTTAAAACTACATAAGTTATTTAATTTTTTATTTATTGTGTAAATACTGCTCATGAATGCTACCTAATATTGTCGTTTGGTGTGAAAATCTAATCATTTACATGGATCATATTTAATGCACAGCAGAAATTAGGGCAGATTCCAGCTTATGAGTACTGATTGTATCTGGGACACTAATATGAAGACAAAATGCTAAACATTTCTCTTAAATGTGAGGATTCACGTCATTATCAGTATCATTGCTCTTTGGATGGACATTTTACACACAACAGATAATAACGCTGCCATGTATAGTCTGCTGCTAATGAGCACTTAAAGCAGCAGTAGGTCATTTTCATTAAAAACAAAAAATGTTACACTTACTGAAACTTTCCCTGCGTCCTGACAGTAGAACATGAGACAGATGAGCTGTGAAATAATCAGGTTCCTCTGGCTCCTCCTAGTGCTCCTAATAACTTCTTACATGAATCTTCTAGGCCTGAATGAAAACAACCAATCAGAGCCGAGAAAGATAGTCGATGGTGAGACTCATTCCTACGTCTTTAAATACAGACACTGTGGGACTCTGGGAATGAGACTCGCACAATCAACTATCTTCAAGCCTCCAGTAAAGTGTATTTATATCTTTCTCTGCTCCAATTGGTTGTTTTTGTTCGGGCGGTGGATTTATGCAAATCCCATTCAAACCACTAGGAGGAGCCAGAGGAACCGTATTATTAATACTGTCAGGACACAGTAAATGTTTATGTAAGTTATTTTATAAAATGTTACCTACTGCAGCTTTAAAGGTGACCAAGAATACAAAATGAGGGGTTTCCAACTTGTTCTATCCCAAATTAAAACTTCACTGCCTGTAACTCTTTGTAATTATTTTAAAGTAAAGCTAACATGAGACCATCGTGTGGAGGCGTGCTGTGAGTGAATGAAACACAAACGTTGAACTTCTACAATGACCTTGACAAACTGTATTTAATGTGAATTAGTGACACCATGGCTGACTCCCAGTCCCTTTTAATGAGGCCAGACTCAGTGCAGATACTCGTCCAGCTCTCACACAACCACAAACATCACCGGTGCATCAGACACCTTTAGACAGACTTACGCAAAACTCTGCTCAGCAACTTAATAAGTCCTTTATTTGCAATGTTCCGTTACCTCATCTTTCCAGTTTCAGATGCAAAAGAAGCAATAATTTCTTAAATAAAGAAAGCAAAAAAAAAATATTTACAAAATTCCAATACAACTAATAATCAATGGATTATCTAAAGCACCTCTCTGCATCTGGACAACTGTGGTTTCTGTTGGAAAAGGACACACTGCAATTACATCAGCAATTTATTGTTTCTGAAAAATAAAACTGAAAAAAAAAAGTGTTTGTAATTATTATTATATATTTACAGAACGCTCCTGAAATAAGTTTCCACTTGAAGTAGAAAAGGCTTTCGGATCATTTCTGTGTTGTTTTTTTCTTTTTTTTTTTTACTTTATATATTTCATCAAGTCAATTTTCTGTAGATTTCAAGTTTTAACTGTGATTGGGTCATTAAGTGTCCTCTACGACAGCTCAGGTTTAAGTATAGAAGAAGAGGTAAAGATGAAGAGTCAGTGTGGTTCACTACTGGGGATGGGAGAGGATGGCTTAGAGGAAGCATTAAGACCACCCCCTAGTAGTCAAGGTCAAAGGTCAACATCTGTCCTCCATGTTTCTGTCCTTTGTACGTTCATGATGGGAAACAGGAAGAGAAAATAGACCACCTTAGCTTTAAAAACTCCATCCATCAAATTAATATTAGTTCATGTACGTTTGTCTGTGAACGTTATCGTCCACTGTATCATTAATAGAAACACACTTCAGTCATGCTGCACACTCCAGTAAAGGACAAAGACATAAGAGCTGAGTTTGGATTGAACACACACCATCAGGGATCCCACTACACCACACGCCCTGCTGTTTATTCTTGCAGATCAGATCGGATATTAGGCATTATCATAATCTAGAACCATAAAAAAAGCAGCCCGTTGGTTTTGTATTATTGTGACAAAAGTTTCGTAGTGATGTGGGATACTTCACACCTCGTTAACAAGCAATCCTGCTGAATCAGTTTTCAAGTTTATTTTATGAGGACACTTGCTGTCACAAGCAGGAGGGGGAAATAATGAGGAAGCGAGAGAGAGGGTGGGTAGAGAGAAAATGATTGTTTTCTGAGTCCATCCCTCAGAGAAAAACATAAGATTTATCCTCATTGAGGATTGATTTGAGTCTGCCTCTCTGGCAATATTGTCCATGACTCGCCGCAGCCGCCTGCAGAGCCCCCGCCTTGCCAAAGGGGGACGGCAGCTTTCAGTCCAGTCTTTTATTCCTTGTCAGACTCCTCCTCGGCCTCACGGAGCCAGGTGAAAAAAGCGGTGACTGATTTCAACGCCACACCTTTGCCTGTTTGCTCCGCGGGGTCTTTGCTGGATTCCCATTTGTAGAAAGCTTCCTCCTTAATGACGTCCTCATCGTACAAGGCGTCGAAGAACATCCGCAGCAGGTCTGCAGAGACAGAATATAGAGGTCAATATTGATCGAGCATTGGTAATGAAAAGACGGGATCTTGGTTTTGTTGCAGTCAGTTAAACGCCGCCCAGTTTGTTGCAGTGGATTAGAAAAAGATAACACACGTGGTTCAATACGGCGGCCCTGCCAGAATGCATGCTGGTGTTAATATTACCATTTAATTAAAATAATGATTTGAGGTTGTTTTTTGTACCGTTTTTGAACAAACCCCACTAAGTGTAATTCAGTCAGTGTTAAGTCATTTATAATGATGTGTGTGAAGTCCTGTGTTTGCCATAAAGCATCGTAACGTTTAAGCTTTTTCCTGGTGTGGTCTAGATACCATTAAATCCTGAACACTGGACCTTTAAAAATGTCTACAAGTTTCACACATTTTTTCTTTAACATTTTAATACCGCCACAAACTGTGTTAAAGGACCAGTGTGTGGGATTTAGTGGCATTTAGGGGTCAAGTTGCAGATTGCAACCAAATTAATAAATAAGAAGATTCATGGCAGACTGTGGAAAACAACCTGCTCTCTTTGTACATAAATACGTCTCATACTAAAGGTAACAGAAGCATGATTCCTATATTCAGGGGATTATTCACTAATGAGAACATACCTATTAATATTATATTCCATTTCTGCCAATAAATCCTCCAAATGTTACACACTGGACCTTTAATAACGGCCATTTGTATTCCTAATCAATGACATTGACAATAACATGACATTTCTGAACGGCATCAACTTTAGCATAGGTTGCAGAGCTACTGTACTCTAAGGTTTTTGTTATTGTGTACACTGCTGTACGTTCAGCCCCGACACGTCACTGCTGTAAAGTAAAGCACTCACTTGCTGGCTGCTCCATGTGCACCATCAGAGCCTGGAGGGCGTAAAGGGCCTGCAGCTCTTTCTGCTCATCACACAGGTATCTCTGCAGCAGACTGGCCCTCAGGCCGATCTGACGCGCATCCACCCTGTACGGGTTATCACCTGAAACGAGGAGGAACACACATGAATTGAGATTAAAATTTTAACTTTCCAAGGCTTTCAATCACATTGTGGTTTGCGTTTCTAGAGAATTTATGTCGCTGCTGTGGATGAAAAAAATGACTAATAGCCAAGGATATAGAATGATTTTAGACAAAAACAGACCACCCTCACTTGTACATGCTGTATTAGTCAGACTTACATATGATGGCAGCCTGACACACTGATGTCATCAATGCTCGAACAAACTGGTTGGAAGCAGTTTGCTGCTCATCCAAGTTAGCCTGAAAAAATGAACCAGAGAGGAATCAACAATTACTTTACACAACTTTGGTATTGAATAAATAATCCTGCATTGAATATTCAACTCTGGTGTAAAACCAGCTGAAAAAAAAAAAAAAAAGATCACTCACCTCAACCCAGTCTCTGATACGCTGGTTGTTGGCCTTGTCCTGCAGGAGTCTGTCCAGCTGTTTACTGAGCTCTTCTCCAGTGAGGACCTTCTTCTCATCGACTTCCTTTGACTCGGTTTCCTCTCCTGTTGTGAACTCCATTTTCTAAATGACGTAACAAAGACAATTGGAGATACTCTTGTAAGTTATCCACTTATAAAGGTGTTCCATTTTTAAGTAAGTAAGCAAACCAAAAATAATGCAACGAATGGCCACAGGTTGGATTAGAACCCAGCCCACTGCGGTAAGGACTCAGCCTTAGTAGATGGGGCTCAAGCTCTACCAGGGGAGCTACCTGAGCGTCCTTATCTATTTTATACATTTGATCTTTCTTCTCTGCAGCGACAAGGTTAAGGGTGTAAAGTGTAGGTGGGTATTGGCATAAGGTATGCAATGTGATAATTCAAAAAATAGGGGATAAAACATCACTTTATCCAAATCAAGAAAGAAAAACTTCAAGCGGCCAACAGTTTTCAGTCGTTTGTGGTTTACTGTCTAGTACTACTGTAGCCTACAAACCTGATCAGTGACAAACTTGTTGACGTCTTCATCCTCGGGCAAGAACTCGCTCCAATTCAGCCCAGCCTCTGTCCACATGCCCCCGACCTTCTTGGGGGTCTGATGGGAAAACAAAACAACATTCAGTCCAGAAGGTTTAAAACATCAAACTGCCCAAAGTATAACAGGATGTAATGAGAGAGCTGTTTAAGTTAAGGGATTTATATAGGACATACCATTCCTTTGCAGAGAAACTTGAGGATCTGTACCAGCAGCACTCCAGCCTGCCCCAGAGGCACAAGAGGCTTCGAGATCTCCCTGAAGACACAATTACACTAAATTAGACTTTTCACTTTCTTTTAACTAAATGATTGTTCACTTGCTTTATTTATTACAATTTAATATACAAATAGTTATACTCAAAGCAAAAAAGTAAGTTGATTGTTGTGTATTAAATATTTTATAAATGTTTATGTCATAAACCCTATTGAGGCAGAGTGTGACAGACAAAGACCTGCCATACTAAACTATACCTAAATGTTATTTATGGACAGAGAGGAAGATATCAGTATCTGAAAAGAAATAGGCTTTAATTATTTTCGCTGACTTCCATGATGTAACCCACCTGAAGAGTTGTCCCATAGGGATGCCTCCCTCATGGAGCATGGGGGTTATGAGTTCAGCCAGGTAGAGCCAGATGTGAGGTATATCTATGGCCGTGTCTTCCGCAGCCTCCAGGGTCTCTTCTAGCCTGTGATCCAAAAAAACACACACAGCATTTAATCTCACACACCTTTGTTAGTTTAATGTTCTCAGATCAGCCTGTCAAGAGTAAATAAGGATACACTCGAGGTGAAAAACTCTTCAGACATTGGAAGCACAGTGATTCACAGTAGGTTTTTCCTGCTAAATGCTCACCCTTTGTAGTACTGCTGTGTGGGCAGTGTCCCTGCCTTTACCAGTTGGTGCAGCAACAGGCCTGCACGCTCTCTAGCGATGGTGCTGCGCTCAAGCGTTGACTCCACGGCGTTCCGCACAAACACGTAGAGCAGTGAGGCACTGTTGAGTTCTGTCACACACTGCAATGCCTCCTACAGCACAAGAGGAAGAAAATGACAGCCATCAGAGCGGTTTCATATTCTAGGCATTCGCTGGTGACCCTGATAAAATGCATGCATTTACATCGTTTGTGTTGCGAGAGTGCACGGTGTCGTGTTCGTACCTTCAAGTCATTGATGTGGAGGTATTCTTCGATGATGGCGTTTGACTTCTTCTCCACCTCCTCTTCAGTCAAGACAGGTTTTGGAAGAGAAGGAGGAGGAGTGGGGGCACTCTCACGTTTAACTACTGAGGAAAAAAAATACAAGTTAAACATCCTTCCTCTTACATCAGGAATCCTCTGTGTGTACAACTCACACCATCATCTTCCTCCAAGACATCTTTCTACCATTATATCCATTTAAATATTTACTTTTGCACCTTTTTCACCTGTGAGATCTTTGCTTGGACCCCTGTCACGGCTTCCTCGGTCTCTGCTTCCTCTGTCCCGACTTCCTCTGTCCCTGCTTCCTCTATCCCGACTTCCTCTGTCCCTATCGTCGGTCATGCTGGCGACGCGGCGCACAGGCTCAGTCGCAGTCCGGCTGTCTCCGCCCCTACCACCGCGGTCCTGCGACTCTCTGCTGAAGCTTCTCTTGGTGATTTGGTTCTGGCTGCCGCCATCGGCACGACCTTCCCGTCCCTCACTGCGATCGAATCGTTCAAACCGATCCCTGCTGCGGTCACCCCTGTCTCTGTCGCCGCCACGCTCGCGGCTGGAGCTTGACCTAAAGGTTGTAAGTGAGACAAAGATGGACGTTTATCACAATGTCGTGCCATCAAATCTGATCTTAAACTGGTTTAGGAGTCGAATGCCTAAAACACTCAATTTAAAACATAATTTTATATTGGTAAAGACAGTCTCCCCAAACTGTTGAATTTTAAATGCAAACATCTACAATATAACAACAAGGACAACAGATTTCACTTTGTAAGAAAATATGTGCAGCTGCTGAATACCTCTGGGGAACTCTGCGATCAGAGTCTGTTGAAGACAACAACGCGCCAGACTGCTGCAGGGCTGAGAAGCGGTTGAGGGTGCTGGTAGCTGGACGACCAGAATCTAGAAAGAGAAAACGGATAGATTAACACTTCAACCACTAAAAATAACTTACAACCACACTTGTCTTCAAGAAGAGTATTTTACCCTGCTCTCCACTTGCTGGTTTTGCTCCAGTTCCTCCACTGCTGCCTTTGCCCCAGCTACCCCACATGCCTTTTCCCCCTGGAGCCAACAGTTGGTTGTTGAAGTCCAGAGCCCCAGGCTAAAGGGAAACACAAAAGTTACATTTTTAAACAAGTCACCTCACATTTAACCAAGTACCAAATTATCAAGTGAAACTTCAGACAGTTTCATTCTAAAGGCTCTTGAATACTGACACTGTTTTTTTACTGTGCACCTGAGAAAACACAAGATGCTCAAAAACACAGAAACTGACTGGACTCAAACGTTACCTTTGTGATCTTGCTAAGACGGGTGGTGTCGATGGGTCTATTCTTGGAGATGGGCACTGTGTTCCAGCCCTCATCCTGAGGTGGGTTAGTCCTGCCACCTCCTGGTGTGTGAGGGCCTCGGCCTCCCATGTTTCCTCCCATCCTGCCTCCGCCGCCGCCTCCTCCTCCTCCACCTCCGTCTTTCTTGGACAGGAGCTGCTGCTGGACTTTGATCTGTTCCCTGTGCTCCTCCATCTCGGCCTCCTTGTGGATCTGGTCGATTGTTTTAGGACCCTGTTCTCCTCTACGAGGCACCCAGTTACACTGTGGATCGCAGATGGAAGATGGTTATAAAACAGTCTTAAACTCCTATCGCTTAATATCTGCATTCAGGACTCCCATGCGGCTCATAATCCCAGTGGATTGCTTCACACATAGTACAAAACAATTATGCTCATTCAGGAATACTTCTCAGCATTATTCACATAAATGCTCGTTATAGATTCTTTATTGTAAGATCTTGTAATGGCCGTGTTAATATTTACTCTTCTGAGATCGATGACGTCTTGCAGCATGAAGCGGATTCTGGATGAGGTCTTCCTCTCTTTGATGATCTTGTCCATCTGGTTGAAATATTGATCCATACGAGGCTAAAGGGACACAGGAAAAAAAAAAAAAAAAAAGCAGCAGCTATGAGACAAAGCTACAAAATGTTGAGTGTAAAGGATTAAATGAGACTGATTTATATGTGAAAAGCCGTCTCCTCAGCTCCTCAATCCAATCACTGATAAGTGGCACAAAAAAGACAATTGAATGTGTTAACGTTTTATGAACAATCACCATCTGTGTGTGTTAATGTGTTACTTACCTTGGCCTTCTCAAAGTCCAGGTCTTTGCCAATTGTGGAGAGCAGCCTGCAGAGACACTCCAGAGACTCTTCATCATGATTCTTCAGTAGTTTCACTACACAGTCGTGCATGATGGCCTCTGTCAGCATCTTCAGCTTGAAGAGCTCGCCAATGAACTTTATGTTACCCAGTGAGCGACGGCGGGCCTGGTCTCTGGCCTCCGTCAGGTCCGCCCTCAAGCGATCACGTTCCTCTCCCTGAGAGCAGACATAAGTGATTGTTTTTGCTTAGAGGCGAGGTAAAATGATCTGTTGAGTCTAAATAAAAACAACTAAAACTGTAGTGGCTGGGACAGTGACAGTAAGCGATCATATTTCTTACCTCTTTGGCAGAATCCAACTCTTTTTGCTTTTTCTCAAAGATTTCATCGTCATCCTGGTCCTTCTCAAACTCTTTCTGGCAGCGGTTGAGCAGCACTTTGCGGAAGTTCACAAAAACTCCTGGCTTGTCTGAGGTGGGGACTTTTAACTGGAGGAGGAAAACATTGAAGATTACACTTTTAGTATACACTTTTAATTTCATTAATAACAAAAACTAGACTATAACAGAAAACTAAAAATTAGAACCAGTGATTTAACTGTGCTCCATCAGTTCCTCAATACCATCATAAACATTCAGTGGCCCAGACACGTGGCACAAAACAAAGGTCATCATTGGAGCAAATGATAAAAGTGCAAGATCCGGACACAATCACGACTTACCCCCATAAGGCAGCGGCACATGTTGGCGTAGGCCACAGAGAAGTTGGGCTCTGAGATGGCCTTCTCAAAGATGAGGTCAATGGCTCCCTTCAGCCTCTCCTCTGTGTCTATCGTCAGGTCCGTCACCTGTTTCATCAGCTCCTGAAACTTCTGAGGGGTCAGCTTGTTGAGGATACTGCGCAGACGCTTGAACAGCTCTTGAGTTTTGGCCTGTTCGGTATCTTCCTCTTCGGCCTCCTCCCCAGCACGGCTGCGAGTGGACTTCTTCGCAGCGGGCTTCCAGGCCTTCTCAGCCTTGTTCAGCTGCACGTCATCGCTGAGGGACAGGCTGCTGAGGTTGATTTTCCTGGGCTCTTTCCTCTGACCCTGCTGGGAGCGACGTGGCCCAGGCGGCTAAAAGGAGGGGAAAGGATGCATATTTCGAAAATAAACCTTATTTAACAAAACAAATTCATTATGATGCCGTAATCATGATTATGATAAGACCATTCCAGAAAAGGACAATACAAAGTCACTCACCGGGCCTCGTGGTCCTCCAACTGATCTGCTCCCAAGGTTCCCCAAATACGAAGGAGTAAAATCGGGACCGACATTCATCAGTCGAGCTGGGTCAGCAGGCCGCAGTGGAGTCTTGTTCACCTGAAGTTAGAATAAATGACCTTAGTTCCCAATACAGAAATACCAAACACAGGCAGAACAAGAGGAACGTGACATTTCCTAATTCATTAGTCATCATAAAGACAGTGCTGATGAGGTCAAATGTAGTTTTTAAGTATGAATAAATGATATTACTCACTCCACAGCAAAATGACATAAAACATCACCCTACCTTCTCCAGGACCACATCACTGATGGTAGGCAGGCCCTCAGGTTTGTGCATACTGGCGCCGATAAACTGGCAGCCCAGGAGGAACTCCCTGTCGTACCGCTTCTTGTCTTCTGGGTCTATCGGCTTCCAATTTTCTGAGAGATGTAGGAGAGATGTGTGAATGCAGAGGATTGACTGATTTGGAAAACTGACAAGCTGTCCCTTAAAAAAAACAGTTGTACAGCTTTTGAGCTCTGAAGAAGGTAAGATTTGTCTTGAATGGGACACTTTGGGATGCTTGAAAATGCTGTATAGTAATAATAAATAGATCTCCCTGAATCCAGCCACTGATATTCCACCTTTTTAGCATAAATTGTTTAAAAAGGGATGAAAAGGGATGTACACAATTTTGAACAGAAAGGTATCTGAAATAACCTTTAATAGAAAGGTCATAAATTGTGTCCTTTTGTGAATTATAACTGAAAATATTTGGTGAATTTTATATGACATAGCTTAAGGTTGCATTAACATTGCATTAACATTAAGCAAAAATATGAAATGTGACTGTACTCTTTGAATATTAACTTTAGGATTCATGTGTGTCTAAAAACCATCATCATAACTACAAGTGTACATCAAAATGGCAGTGCTCCACGCACACGCACACACACGCCAACTTACCTCCTTTGTACTGGTATTTCTGCCCAGTTGGCTCAGGTGTGGCTTTAGAACTGTCAGGTTCTGCATTCTGCTTGTCTTCTTTCTCCTCCCAAGTCTCATCTACAACCTCAGCGGGAGGTTTAGCTGGAGCAACAGGGACGGGGTCAGCCTGAGTGGACGAGGGTTCAGAAGCAGGCTTGGCACCCTGCTCCTGCAGCACACACAGCAGGAAGAGATGGGTAAGTATTATAATAACCTAGTTACTCTTCAGAGATTGTAAAATATCCTCAAATATTATTGATATTACTGCTGTTAATTTCAATCTTTCATGTTGTCACCTGGACTGATACATACCTCTGTGAAGGCATCCAGGAGGTTTCCAATGTTCTCCTTTTTGTTGAACTCCTTCATGTTCTTCCTCTTCTTTGGCACAGACGTAGCAGCTTCAAGAAAAAGGACATTGACATTTAAATCTCACATAAGACCTGCATGACACATTGACAGTCATAAATGCAAGGGAGAATCAACTTACCTTGCATAGTAGTAGGTTCCTCGGTAGGGCAGCTAACAGTGGTAGCAGGGACATCCTCACTTTTCTCCTTCTCCTCTTCTTCCTCTTTCTTCTTCTCCTCCTCCTCTTCCTGGGCTGGCATTGCCGTTTTAGCCACAGGCGTGGATTCCTGAGATTGAGAAGCGTCAGGCTTGTCAATGGGTGTAGTGTCTGAAAATGCCATGTCCTCAGAGAGTTCCTCAGTGTCCTGAGGAAGGCCGTTGGAGAGAAGAGGCTCTGCCGTTTCAGCTTGCGTGGGTTCGGGTTCGGGTTCAGGTTCAGGTTCGGGTTCAGGTTCAGGGGCTGAGATCGGGGCAGCATTCTGGGTCTGTGGAGCAGCAGGTTCCTGTGCAGAGGGCGGAGGCTGAGAGACTTCAGGTGTCGTCTTTGTAGCAGTTTCTTCTTTGGCCACTTCAACAGGGTTAACTGTTGCAGCAACCTCAACTGCGATCTCCAACTTAGCGCTGGTCACCTGCTCTTCCTTTTCCAATTTCTTTACTTCCTCTGTTGTCTTTTCTTCCTTTTCTGGCGCCTTCTCAGCTGGAGCTGGGGCAGCCGGCGGTTCCTCCAGTTTGACAGGAGCCTCAGGTGCCGCTAATGATGCTGTAGGGACGACGGGAGCGTCTACTGTGTCACTAACTTTAGTATCAACTTTATTTACTGCCTCGGCAGGAGGTGTAGTAGATGCTGATGCTGTAGTAGATGCTGTAGGGGGGGGGGAGGAAGACTGCTGGTCCTTTATCAATGGTGATGGCACCTCAGTAGCTGCTGCAGGAGCTACAGGTTGTGCGGCTAACTCGTCAGGTGGTGTAGTCTCACTGTCCATTTCCTGTTTGGCCTCCACCACAGGCTCTGCATTTTCTGTGGCAAGAGGTGGTGGTGTTTCAGCGCTAGCAGGAGGCTCCATGTTTTCATCTGGGCAGTGAAACACATGAAGTAATCACAATTAGAACAATGTGGAATACAACCACCTTGCATTTTTTTGTGTAAACCAAAACTGAGAAAATGTACTCACCTCTTCTAGTCACTGTAGTGACAGGCTGGGTAACTTCACCATTGGTCTGTGGAGGACTTGCATCGGCTATGGAGGCCTGCAGTTACAAAACAGTATTTTTGTTAAACACCGATTGAAATGGAAATACACATATTACAACCATTGTCCCCATTTTCATGAAATTATGTTCACTTTTAGTTGGGACTGTGTTGTAGAAGAGTTGATTAAACTCTTTAGCCATTTTGAAGGCTATAGTTTATCCCTTAATGAAGTTATATTGAATTTTGTTCTGCCCAAACCAACCGGCAACACCATGTACAAGTTAAGACAAACTAGGCTAAAAATATAACAGCTCAAAACATCAGTGCATATTTGTGTGTATTTGCTTTAGCTTTCTATTGTTTGTTCTTTGAAACTCTGTACTGATAATAAGATGTTAGCACAGAGATGTGAAAACATGCAATCACCTCTAAGAAAAATAAATTCCTTTTTCCTGAGCTGTGCTTTTTCTCTAACAATGTCTCCTTTGTTCATAAAAACCAACCAAATGTCATTGCTTTCCTTCAAAATTGGAATACAGTAACAATTTGCTCAAGCTGTACGCTTTTCAACCGTGTTTTTATGTATAATTAAAAAGACTTTAAACAGTAAATACTGCCCTTTTGTTCTACTTTTGGAAAAATTACAACATTCCCAGATAAGCCAACTACCAGTGTAGACAAAATATAAGTCAGAATTGCAGACTCTAAATTTTCTTTTACAGCTCGAGTTAGAACCTGTTCTATGCCTTACATTCACTTTATTTTCCACATGTAAAGTACCTGAAGTCAGTACAAAATACACGATAATAACTATAAGAACTATACCTTTAACCCAGAGTTACACAAACAAGACTCATTATTAGTACTCAGGACTTACTATCAGTATAACAATCAATAAAACAATTCTGTCTTTAACTATATACACAACAATGCTTATTTCAGATCAGAGTTTAAAATCAGTCAGCAGAAACCAGTCTTCACAAAATCACTCTTACCTGTGGGGGAGTCGGTGTGGTCGTGGACCTTCCACCTGACATGATCTCCTCTGTGATATCACGTCCGCCCTGGTTGGGGTCTCGTATTCTTATCTATCAGGAGACAGGGGAAATATTGGTTAAGTTTCCACCAAACATGTAACCAACATTAAAATGCCAACAGTATGTAATGATCCCGTCACTGCTGATCTATAGCTGCCACCCAACATAATAAATACTATTGTTATTTTCAGGTAAAAGAGAAAGTTCCACATTGAACAGACAAAACACTTTCTGTCCATTCAAATATTTTTTTGACCTCAGACAAGAGGCGCGCTGCCCTTTTGTTGTGACACACTACCGGTTTGCGTTCCCTCTTTGGTGGGCCTTGTGACTGTGCCGGTGGTTGCTGAGGAGGCGGGGCTTGTTGCTGTTGCTGGGCCGGGTTGATCATGACTTGTGTCGGTGGGACAGAGGGAGAGTACTGCGGCTGAGCTGGATAGTATGTTCCCGCTGTAAGGTTAGAGTGAAACAAAGAAGAATAAATGAAAAAGATTGTTTTCATTTACTCAAGTATAAGATACACTTCACACTAAAATAACCATCCAACCAAAGATTCACAGGATTTTTCCCCCTGTAGTTATCACCCAAAATGCTTTATTTGAGGTGTTTTTATAAAAACCCCTTCAAGGCAGTATGTGGGGTACATTGAGGTTGTAGACCGGATTGATATTTTGACCTTCCTGTAGGAACACAAAAACAAGAATCCACACAGAGAGCGTATATGAACTGTGTGTATCAAAATATAAACTTGCACATATTTTATATATCGACAGATTTGCGGGGCGATTCATGTGTCACTCTCCACTGACGGCGGCATTACTGCGATGGCTAAGTACAACTATGCGAATGAACCCCAGCTGTTTTGGGTGGCAATCGTCCCCTCCTACAAATAAAGGTAGCCTGTGTGAATGTTAAAGTTATTCCATCTTAAAAGCACCACTATGAAATTGGTTATGACACAGGCTTTTGTAGTAATGACCTTCACATCCAGACTGTGAAGGTCGGACAGAAGCTGCATGTTAAAGTGCTGTGTATTCAATAAACACAGCCGACGTTACTTATTTTCTTCTCGTATCAAGGTTCCTGCAATCCTTGATTTCATTCATTTTAAGAACATAAATTACTTCATTTAATAAACACATGAAATATACAACATTGTAAAAATGGAATTTCAGTACCAAGCTAGCACGAAATCTGCGGGGAGCCGCCATTATTCATTTTGGTAAGGATTCGCTACTTTTTCAGTACATTTATAGTAGCATGGACGTTTTTTATGTGCGGGACCTTCACTTCGTATCCCATTTGCACATAGAAGTATACTGTACATGTGTGTGGTACCAAAAAATACAGAAACAACACATGTTTACAACACTACCAGAGACAGGAAGTGCCACAGAGATTTCTTGCCACTAAAGCTTGCTGACCAACACACAAGCACACACACTACTCACCAGGGTAGCGCTGGGAGGTGAGAGGAGCACCGTGGAGAGAGAGACGGCCGTTCTCTCGCCCGCCCCCTCTCCCCCCACCACCCCGCCTCTCCCTCGCAGCAAGAGAGGGCTCTGAACCAACGCAGCAAACGAGAGGAAGGGAGTGAGGGACGGGAGAGGGAGGAAAGAAGGAGAGAGGGCAGGAAGAGACAGATGCAGAATGAGTTAATGAGAGGATCCAGAGGAAGCAGGGTGTTAAAAAGGTCCCATGAAATGAACAACGTCTTTAATGTATTCTTACCTTGTGTTCCTGGCTGCATCTTATTTTAATGTCAACTGTTTTTTGACAAGTGTTTAAATACAAATACAACTTTACTTCCTGGAAAGTTTTTAGTTCTGTTCAATGAACCATCTTCCACTCAGGAGCGAGCATAAGGCAATAAAATGGACGGTTTTAGTTTCACCCAATGCCTCACATTGAAAAATATGTCTGTAGAACAACATTTGTCCTTAAGAAGATTAGTATTTGCAGCAGTAACACAGGTCAGATGTGTGTTTGGGGTGGCATTTAAAAGAATTTTTTGAAGTGCAGTTGCAACCAGACTCAGATGTGTGCCTGCCATTTGGGAACCTTTGTCATAGATACTTTTGAACTCAAATTAGATCCCTCCTAACATTAAATCCCACCCCAACATCAAGTTTTATATGGATGTACATCCAGAAAGAGAACAAAAATCTTGTCTCAAAAGGCCATTTCATGGAACCTGTAAGGCAGTGTCAGGTGAGACTGCAGATAGAAAGAACACAGGCCAAAGCAGAATCAAGCCAGACCACATGCAACTGGCAGTTCACCACATACAGCAGTGTTTTAAACCCAGAAACACATTAAACACACGAACCAGCCAAGCAAAACCATGACACACCCAGCAGTACCGTATGGGCAAAGAAGTGCACAAATGGCTAAAACTAGATGCTTCATCTTAAAATCTCAGTCAAATTTGGGCTTCTGGTGTTTCAGAGTTGACCCTTTTAACTGAAAATCCTCCATGTTTATGGTTGTGCTTGGTTGTGGTTGGTTTTGGGCAAAAACCCTTACCATAAGGGTATTCAGCAGGGCTAGTTCCTGGATAGAAGCCTGCTGTACCGCTGGTCACAGGATACTGCTGAGTAGGAGGCATGTACGGGGGCCGGTACTGCAGAAACAAAATAAAGAGTCAGAAACAACAACAATAGATGGAGCAATTAAGTTGTGACAGCTTCAGGTCAATCTCTGCCATCTCCGCAGTAACGTACCGTATTGGCCCGAATAAGATGACCCCCTTTTTCCAACACCTGTTTTTGGAAGACAAGAAACTCCTACATTTGTGTAGCTTGGACAAATGTTTTCAAATGCAGCTAATTCTTCATTGTGTCTATCAGTCACATGCTCTTAGAAGCTGTCAGAAGGATTTTCTCTGGATATTAGCGGTTTTCTTTTAAGCTTCCCATCCTGACATTCTGTCACACTGGTATTGCTTGTCAGATGATTCGGTCCCTGATAGGTTTTGTTGCTTTCAACTCATATTCACTCGTCAAACATTGAATTTCCCTGTGGTAGCAGAACATGCTACACAAGCTGTCAGAAACTCCAGTAGGCTTAACTTGGCTTCCTAATTTTTGGCTTGCTTAAGTCTAAAATACACAATATAAACAGAAATTTGCTAAAAAAAACCCACCATCTTATATCTGGGCCAGTACGGTAATATGATGAGCATATACTCAGGACTATTTGAGCAGGTCGTTAGGTAGAATTGTAATGATTGAATTAATTGTAAAAAACGAATTGATGTTTACTAATGTGAACCAACCTGTCCAGGTGGGATGAAGTAACCCTGAGGGGAGCCAGCGAAAGACAGCTGCTGCTGGGAAATCATCATCATCTGGGAGCTGGGCGGGTAGACGTGAGCAGGACCAACAGGCCGTGGGCCACTACTTGTCTGTACCCTCGGAGCACTGGTGGCCATGGTTGGTCGGGTCTGATAGTAACTCTAGAGAACAGATGAGGGAGAACGAAGGGAGAAGGATGAAGAGTGTATCACAGCACAAGCAAACCTGTTGCTCTGTGTGTACATTTAGTGTCTCAACTATGGTAGTCCTAACCCATTTGTAAAGATGTTTTTGTGTGTCTGTGTGTGTGTGTGTGGGTGTCCAGGCGGGCACACACCCCTAACCTCAGCTGGAAGCGAAGCACAATCACAGCAACTGGCAGTGTGTGTAACAAGTTCAGTTCTTGGGTTACACAAGAGTCTAAATTGTACTGAATGTCATGTCTCACTGCTACACTGAAGTTAGGCCAAGTTAAAAGGGAGGGGAGGGGGGACAGGGACAAAGAGAAAAGCTGTTACCTGTAATGCTCTGTATCCACCCTTCAGCCGCACAACACATGAGCAGAGAGCAAGAGAGGGAGTGAGATTAAGGTGAAAATGAGGACAAGAGACAATGTGGAAGGTTGAGATTACAAGGGTGTAAGAAGGAAGAGTATGAAAAGCAGCAGCAAAATATCTCTCAGCCATGAACAGTAAGCTCAAACAACCATAGCTGCACATGCAACTCTGTACAGGACTGCAGTAGTAGGCTCCTCCGAAGTCGTCCGGGTCCAAGTAAAAGAGTGGTTAAAGAATCATTTTACAGGCTACAGGCACATGCGGGCAGTGAATGAGTGCTGCAGGTACCAAAAATCAATTCACTTTAATATTAAACTCTACGTTAGCGTCATCTGAAGTAGCAAAAAGGCATATTCTTGTTTTAATTTAAACCTGACTACAAAATGATGAAAAATTCAGAGAAGTATGGGAGGGCCGAGAGTAAGTGCAAGTGCAAGATGAATAAAAAAGGATAAACTTCCTACAGAGAAATATAGGACTCAATGCTACTGGATGGCAGGAAAAGTTATCTCATCTAATAAACACTACAGCGTTCTCAAATAATAATCCAACATGTGGAACTGAAGGCATGCATTACACTACTAAGGAGACAGAGGGGATGTAAGGAGAAGTGAGGGGTGTTAGTACCTGTTGGTGTAAAGTACGGGGCCCTGCAGCAAACTGGGAGAACAGCAGAAGAGAGGAAAGAAGTCAAGATAGACATTCAAGGAGAAAGATGGCAAATAGGCTAAAACGCGCACACACAGATTTAGCCAAAGCCTTATAGCAGAAGAAGCCTTGTCAGAAATCTTTGTGAAAGGGTAGGAAAGGGGGGGTTCTTACACGAGGCAAAACAGATCACATACTTAGACACTAAATGCTGAAAAAGACATTCTGTGAATAATACCTGTCTTGCCTGTGGTGCAGAGCTCATTTGTGGAGGTGGGGGGGTGGCAAAAACAAGAGAAGGGGGTTGTCCAGGGCCGTATGCCGCCTTGAGAGGAGAGAAAGAGAGAAGATTAGATTAGTAAATTAGTTTTACCAAACTTTAAATCTACCAAAACTACTAATTTTACAGAAGATCATTTGTGGTCACCTGTGACAATCCGGGGGAGGGGGCAGGGTTTGGGACAGAAGTAGGTCCCGTTATAGGCTGTGGTGGTTTGTTCATTTCACGTTCTTTTATGGTTCTGCATTAGGGTGGCGTTGTGTTGCCAACCTGTCTGAGGAAGAAGAGCAAGAAATACAAAAAAAAAAAAAAAGGAGAACAATTAAGCATAAGACAAGTATTAATCAAGGGCATTGAGATGAAAATGCTTCCAGCTTAAATTTGATCTTCGTTAAACATGATAACTGCAGCTCAGATATGAGACAACACTGGAAAAAGACAAGAACATTTAGTGTGGCAACATCTAACCAAGCAGCGAGGGTGTGGTCTGTAGTTTCGCCTATGATAACACCACCACCTCCCATAATGTTCACTTACATATTGCATGGCTCTCCTGCATACAGTCTTATGAGCAATTAGTGTTCGTATGCTCTCTAAATTCCTTGCTCAAACTGCACGGCCTGGACTAACGCGCTTTAACCTCCACCCAAAACTGCCTGTTGTTTGAGAAGGTAAAAAAAGGTCATGGTGGATATTAAATTATTACAAAAAAGGGACTGTAACTGTTAAATAAGAAGAAAAAAAAAAACACACATTCCTAAATGCTCATGACTTGACCGAACAGCAAAAAAGTAAAGGAGGGAACAAATTACTAATGGGGATTACTTATAATGATTTGAAGATCCACTTCCAGCTCATACCTGACTGCCACCAAATCACTAGGACTGGTCTGGTTTTGAGTGAATTTAAGAAAATGGATACCTCAGGTCAAAGTTCATTTACTGTGTTAACAGTGGCTTCAATGCCCCCTGCTTGTGCTAGCTACATGTGCAAACAATCTAGTCCAATAACGAAACGTCAAACTCCATTTCTGAAAACTGATTTTCTCGTAAAAAGATAAACTATTGTTGCACAGATGCTGGAGCAGCTCAGACATGATGAAATGAATATAAAAAAAAACAAAAAAAAAACCCTGATGAATAACTACAAGCAGACGTGTCATGCACCATCCACCTGCTGACACAGGAACTATCGTTAGCTGCGAGCTAATGCCATGCTTCTTTCAGACAGGACATCAAGGTACAAAGCGACCATATGGTTCTGCCGGCACACACGTTTAACAGCCTCATAAAGCCTCAATGTACGGCAGGTAAAAACATCAACCCCCTCCCGTTGTGTCTTGGCGAAGTTTTTTTAGGATGAAAGGCATTTCACTGGGCCGCAGGACGAACGTCTCAGCTAACAGCCGGCTAACATTACGTGTCCCAGAATCAGACGTGGCCACATTTAACCTTAAACGTACACACGGCTCAGTCTGCTAGTTTCACTGCGCTGAAGGAGACACACGTTTACTGATCACGAAACTAAGACCGCAGCTAAACAAGCCGGCCTCTTCAGCAGTAACGCAGCAACATTTGACAGCGATTAGGTTACAGTTGAGCTATTGTTGGTGAGTGTTAGCGCTGTAGCCGCAGCCGTCCTACGAGATGTATTTAATTACAGGCCCAGCAGAGCAACCAGCAACCAGCAACCTGCAACCTGACGTTTCCCTTCAACTGGGATTAAACCCACAACGCAAAGGCGATCAGATTATTTTGTGTCGTTCCTGTCAATGCGCTGGCTCTACGAACAAGAGTTGAAGTTTTATTTAAAATAATAAAACATTAAGCGGTAAACCGAGAGAGGATTAGCCTGAAAGCGACGAGCCCCGGCTGTCAGTAAAGACAACGATATGTTAACTTTACCGAAGCGACTGCGCGATAAAACGAAATAAACACATGTTAAATAACGCGAAAACATTCAGATTAACTTAGTTTTACCCCGTTTTCGTATTCTAGGCAGGATTAGCCGGCCAGCTACCCCAGTGTGTGCACTGAAGGGCCTGCTCCACCAGTTAGCATTAGCATTAGCCTGTGTGCCTTTGACCAACACGAAGCTAAAACAACTCGAGTGTACTTGAAGCTAACGTTAGCACAGCCGCCGGCCGCTCGTTTCATTCTTACCAGGAATCAATTGTGAATAACGTTGTCGGATGTGAACTCGGGGAATCAGCCTCTGATCAGTCTCCAGGTACTGAAAGTAGTGCTGTTGCAGTTTCTTGTCCTTCACCCTAAAAGAAAAGTGATGCCCTTCTTGGCTGTTGTTGCTATGAGCTACCCGGCAGATGGGTGAGTGCTACTACTGTCACCTCGGTTTAAATCCCCGGGCGTGCAAAAGTGACAGTGCTCAAAATCAAACAATACAGTACTTCGGGAGTACTATTGACAACTCCGATGGCCCCGAAAAAAGCCTCTGGACCGGAGGTCCATGATTAGGGCGTCGATGGTGACGGATTGCCGGTTCGGTATGTACACAACTGTCGCATCAGGAGGCTCAGAGAGAGGCCATAGTGCGATGTTTCTGCTGTGTGGAGCCGGTGCGCCTCCAGTCGCATGGGGAACTTCCGGGTAAATTAAAATGTGAGGCCGTTTCCTCGGTCATGTGACACAGGAGCGCAATTCATCAACGCGTGCCTCAAAATAATCTGAGATTAAAAATGGGAACAAACACAATTTATTCATGTCATTTATATCACACGAAGTCTGTGCCAGGCCTGTCTGTTTTTTTTTTTTTTTTACAGAATTTGTAATTTAATATTTTAAAGTCCTTCGTTCGTGGTCTAAAGAAAGACATCAGAGGAAACCCCATCTGAGTACAGAGTCTGCTGAAAAACATGTGTTCCTCCTTTTATAGTATTTATATCATATTGTCCAGACCTGGTCAGTGAAAATGTGCAGACAGTGGAGATGTTTTACCTGAGGACAGCTCATCTATTAATGGATTAATGGATAGGATCCGTGTGGAAAGTGGGAATAATTATAATAGTTTAAATGATCAACTCATCTTAGTATTATTTTCTTTAAGAGTTGGTTAATATTTTTTCTGTAAAATGTCAGAATATAGTAAACATTTTATTTCTCAGAGCTCGAGGACACAGTGTAACACTGAGGAGGATCTCTGCTGCCCAAACTGCAAGTATAATTTCACTAGTACTTAGTTTTATCCAGCTGGATACAGGATCACCTGCACGATAGCCACGCCAACCTTCCACTCGTTTCTTGTTTCCTTAACATAAGACCTCGTCTCCTTTCTACTACCACGACACTGAAGGTCACCATCCATGGAGGCCGCCATGTTGAACCGCCATGCTTCTACGGTAGCTTAGAACTGACAAACCAAATTTTGCAAGTTTTGCGGCCACCGTAATTTCATCATATACAGATGCGAGTGGTGTTCAGTTAGTTGCGATCTGCAGAGTCTCCGCTAGATGCCACTAAAGCCTACACACTGGTCTTTAAACTATGATAAAAACAACAAATCCCTACATTTGAGAAGTTGGAACAATCATCAAATGTTTCTGATTTTTACTTGAAAAATGACAATAAATTAATGAAAAGATGAATTAATTATCAAGTTTTTAATTTAATTTGTTTGGGAATATGCACTACCAAAAAAAGTAATGATATGATATAAATAATGAAGTGATAAAGGCCTTAATGGTTATTCTGCATCATTATCTGTGCAGTCAACATTATTTGTATGAGGTATCAAAAGTGACTTGGTGCATATTTCTGAGTAACCACAAACAACGGGTCAATAAGGGCCCAAAGTAAGGTTTTGTCCTGGGGTCTGATAGCGAGTAATACCAATGGCTTAAGTCAACGAGAATATGTTTGTCTATTGCGTAATTTTTGACATTGCACATTCATGATCCAGACTGGGTCCATGTACTGTTACATAAACTCTCCCAGTATTATAGAAGTCTCTGTCTGATAATAGTCAGATGTCTATCACAGGCTTTTATCAGACTACCTAAAAAGCACAGCATCTGTGTTTATTTTCTCATCCATTTATTCATTCCTTTATGAAGACTGTGGACATGCAGCTGAAGGTGCAGATTGAGACTGTGAAACTAACTTATCTTTGTTGGTGAAATAAATCCTCAGCTTGTAAAAGTGTGACTGATCACTGTAGTGATTATTCAGTTGTAAAACATTTTGGGCTGCATCTCTTATCCTGTTCATTCACCTCTTACAGTAGGTTATTGTTATTATTAACGGCACACTGCAACATGTATGTCTGCTTTATACATAATGTTTAAGTCCATGCACTGTTTTCATGAGTCCTTTTAGACTCCAAGAGAGTTTTACAACAAAGCTTTAAAGTTACGTTACAGCCAGTAAGCTTGTTTGTTCCAGACTGTTTTTGGCATTGGAAGCAAATTTGACAGTATTGTCCCTTTATATACTCCTTCAATTACAATATGACTACAGTATGTACTTTCTAGCAATATGATACATGACGCCACCAAAGCAAACCACAATGTCACCACAAAGGAGCAATAAAAATGCTTTATTAGAGAAAAGTGTTAACAAAACATCGGTGGTCCAGTAATACAGGTAATAACTGCAATAGGACATGATTGGTCACAGAATAGTTGCTTTATAGGTAGTGATATGTTGATCTGTTGGTTGCACTTCTAAAATCAGGTCTACAACAAGAGCAGAAGGAAAATACAAAATGCAATTTTTGGGTTCAGTGTGGGAAGTGTGGGTAAGTTGCTCGAATCACTGAAGGCTGAATGAGGCACCACAGGGTCCGTGGTTGGCACTAGTTTTTTTGCTGACAGGAATGGAAAGTGCAAGATTTCTCCAGATCTGTTGGGAAGAGAAAAAGCGGAAAAAACACAATTGAGAATGCAGAGCATACACATATTTAAGCTATGGTGAGTGTAATGTGTCTCGGCTTCAAGGATATCCCACATTATAACCCACAACAGTACGCACCTGGAGTGGACCCACTGCACTGTCTGAGTGAACTCATGGCATTCATGTAGTCTGGGCCCAGAAACGTGCTAAAGGATGTTCCAGATGGGATCTCCTGGAGACACTTGGTGGAGTCCTTGAAGAGGAGGTTCTTGCCTTGCTCTGACTGGAACAGTGAGAATGTGGGATCGCTGCCATGGTTTCCAAACTTGGCCTAGAAGTAAAAAAATATATATATATTTAATACATTTTATATATTTTTTGTTTGTTATTTAAATGTCTCTGTTAAGGTCAGACAAAAAAAAACAGTTTTAGGGTGAAAAATTATGTTGAAAGTGAGGAAAATACATGTAAAATGGAAAATTATTTTGCAAAGAATTCCCTCAAAACACTCTTTTTGAATTTTATCATGTATGTTATGCCTAAGTGCAACAACCATACTTCATATCCTATTGTAGTAGTTTCACCTAAATAATTGCTTTATGTGTAGTCTGAGTGAAAACAAAGGATGGACTATAGTATCCACTATAGTAAAAAAGAAACCCAGCTGGATAATATTGGTCTGCTTGAGGATGGAGAGTTTTTTGGGAGGTCACTTATATACAATAATATGTAGTGCAAATGTAATACTTCATAGCCAAACGATATTGTCTCTGCAAAAACACCCAAAAACTTTCTCAACTGACCTCCTCAACTGACCTCCCGGTTATTGTGATGGAATATTTTGTAACGCAAACAAAAAAAAAACTAAAAGCAACACTAAAAAAATAACCACTGACCTGCTGGTCCTGGAGAATGCGGATCACCTCACTGCGGCTCTCCGGGCGAGTCACCACGGCGTGTGCGGGGACAAGAGCCAGGTTGCAAGAGGCGTATTCAGTGATTGGCACCGGGTTTTTGTTAGGGCAGATCAGCTCGAAGTCATTAGAATTCAAACCACTTGCCCACGCTGGACCAGAACCTTTGACAAGAAGAGGTGACGAGAAGAAGGTTATAGTTTATAAATACAGTCGTAGTTGAGATGCAAACAGGTCCGTGTCAGTCTCTTACCATCGCTGTTTTCACTGACGATTGTGTGTTTGATGAAGGCAACATCGCCGGCACCCTCAACAAGACATCTGTAATAACATGCAATATATGAAGATGAAGTTTCAACCCTAAGCACAGTGCTCTGGAAGAGTAATTCAACCCATAGTTTGACATTTTTGGAAATAGATTTATGGGTTCAAAATTGTATTGCGTATCACTTAACGATGGAAAATTATCAGAGGTTAGAGGCTCACAAACAACATAAAAACACACACCCATAAACAGCAGTGATTGTCTGTTGTCAAAAGTTAGATGAGAAGATTATAACCACTCTCATGTCTGTGTTATGTACAGAGAACAGCATTAACAGCCATAAAGCGTTTAAGTGGTTTTTACTGAAGGGGGACAACAGGGGTCCTTGAATGGGTTTTAGGGGGTCCCTAGCAAAAGGAGGAATAGAATGTCTTAACTTTTATCAAATTTTTTGGAAGTTGGAACAACAAAGGAATGATTGTAATTTACAATGGTCCCAGTATGATCATTGATTAGCTTTGAAGACTTAGTTAGACTTAAAAAAGTAGTAAAAATACTCAGATTGGGGGTTTGTGGTCTAATGTGTATATATTGTCGGAGTCTTTGACATGAAAAAGTTTGGGAACCCCTGATTTAAGCCATACACAAGCTGAAGTGCTTATCGTTTTTTGTTTTATGGGTAGTTAAGTGCTGTTACCATTTCTTGGTGAAACAGAGGAGAGGCTGCAAAAAAGTGCTAAGACACATATAAATTGTTGTCAAGCTATAGTAGCACGCAAGTCCCCATAAAACCACATATTTTTTCATATAAAAAATGAAAAACAAAAAAAATGAAGTTCCTTGTTGCTGCTTTAATTAGAGCTTTAGAGACACTTGCTGAAGAGAGAGTCGTTTCCTTCTGCTTACCGCCTTTGTGTCTATTCTAGGCTAACAACTTCCTGGTTCAAGCTCCACACAGACATGGTACCAGTCTTCTCCAATTCTCAGAAAGAGCACATGTGCATATTTCCCAAAATGCAAACTATTCTTTGAACATACATGCACATAAATATTTATTCATTTACCTGAAGGCTCCAGCGTAGCCGTAGTATTTCTCATTAGCACTGGCGGAGCACTTGGAATCATCTACCACAGCTTTGCCACTGCCGACACACTGAGCGCAGAATGAAGAGGTGGGGTCTGCTCCGGGGGCACAGCCGCTACTGAAGAACTTAGCTGAGGAGAGGAAGGAGGTCAATATAGTACAGTCAGTATGGTGTGTTGGTGTTAACACTCTTTTACAGAAATCTGCATATTTTTCTTTCTTAACGCAATTTCAAATGAAAGGTATATGAGCAGATGTTTTGGAAGAGGCAGCACACAGTCACTTACTGAAGTCACAGTCATTAGTTATACTATGGATGTGACCCATGGGGACGTTCCAGCCGGCTGTTCTGCCAAGGCCTGTGTGGCAAGACCTCTTGCCCCTCAGCGTGTCCCAGGTCACCCCCGAATTCTTCTTTACCACAGCAACAGCATAGTAAGAGGAGGCCTCTGCTCCAAGAGTGGAAGTACAGACCATGAATCAGAAAACTATCCGCCCAATAATTATTAATTATAATTATTATAATTAATAAGGTTATTCAAATAATTCCCATTTACGGTACTTGAGAAAATAGTGTTCAATTTGTACAAGTGCAAGTAATTAATCCCAGTTAACTGGTAGCATAACCCATAAAGTCTTTAAGGCAGGTGCACAACAGGTCAGCTGAACATGTGAGAACGTGTGAACAAATGTGTCCATGGTGAAGCATATAACCCTAGACAGATGAAGAATAAAGTTTGCAATATAGATGATGACTAATTATAAAGATTAGTTAATTGGATTCAAATAGAACAAGGGAAACTATTAGGAAATAATGAGCACATAAACAAAGGTTGCATTACAGCTAAATCATACACACACACATTCTAAATCAGTAAATATGTTATTTTGTATAAATATATAACTATTTTAACATTTAATTTTGTCCATATGGCCAAAAGGAACAGAAATACGGTACAGGCAGGTTTTTACCTCCAGGGTTGGTGCACATTGCTGTGGAGAGAGACAGAGTTGCAAATATTACTCATGTAGAAAAGATAAAGTAAAACACAGGATTGTATGTGATGTGGTTTTCTGTGTTATCTCATACCTTCGTCATACTGCTCCACCATAGCTGGAACCAGACCACACTTCCCAGCTGTGTACACCTGTCCTCCATCCACTGCCATTGCGTCAGCCTCTTTATGCTGCAGGATAAGTAAGACAAAAGATTATGAGAGACAAATGCAAAAAAAAATCTTAAGCTAGAAACAGATTCCCATATTTTGATCCAAGAGTGTTTTACCATAATCTTTTTGAAGCACTCCTCAACTGTTGGGGCATTCTGGCATTCAATGGTGGCGCTGTCACCGCTAATACTGTTGATGCTCCACGTGTCACACTTGGTTGTCTCAGCGTGGCCCACAGCGCACCATTTGATGGCAGTGGATGTAGCGGCTGGGGTCTGCTCTGGAAAGCGAAGTAAAACATAACCGTAAGCCAGGGTCTACTGTGTAATGAATGCGTTTGCCTGATGAATTGTATGTTGTGTGCTTTATACACTTATGTCTACAGTACCTCTCTTGAGGGAACGAATAATGGCCATGTATTCAGCGCCCAAATACAGGAAGGAATCTGAGTTTGCGGGCAGCGGCACCAGCCTCTGTGCTGAGTCCTTGAACATCAGGTTTTTGGCAGGTCCATAGGCTTCAGAGGAGAAGAGGTTGAAGTCCTGAAAAGGCAAAAAGTAAGCAAAAGCATTAGTGAGGCAACTGAAACACAAGTTACACATTTAAATGAATCCTTTTATATAGTCACTGTGCTGCTTTATCCTCTCTATAAGGCAGTGAACTCTACTACTGGCTCTTTGTGCAGTATAAATATTTAATATTATACCTGCACTGAAGTCAGGGTCCTCAAGATTAAATCAGCCATCTGTGGGTCCTTGCGGGTGACAACTGCATGAGCTGGTACTCTGGCCAGGTGGCAGGTTGCATATTTGTCCAAGGGCGCTCTGGTGTTATCCTTGCACAGCAGCTCATAATTGGCCCTTTCGGACACTGAAAGTGTGCCACGGCAATTATTTAAACGCTTCTGTCTTCCAATTTTCCAGTTTTAAATAAATAAATTCTTACTCATTCTCTTAGCACCACATTTTGAAAATTAAAAGTTTATGTTAAGTAAAGGAGTGTTTGGTTGCAGATATATTGGGTAATCCCACAAGTATTATGTTAGTTATCAGCTATGAGGAACTGCTGCAAAAAAAAAAAGCAATTAGTCATAAATAGTTTGAGATCAACAGATTGATCTACCTACAATAGATAATTAACTTGATTTTGAGATTCATTTTAATAATACCTTGCCTCTCTCACCTTCACTAAACTTTTTTCCTCCTTTTTGTTTCTGTTGAGTGCTTTTCTAATGATGTGTAATCTTATGCACATTATGAAAAGGTTCCATAATATTCAGATTGTGATATAGATGTGATGATTCCTGGCAACAGTGCTGTTGTTTCTTCTGTTGTTATTGAGAAATATAAAAATATCTAATAGAGTATAATAAGACAAAGACTTGTATAGTCTCATAATACAGATTAGAAACAACTGACCAGTTTACTTTTCTGAGATTATTATAAATTAATAATAATTCAACAATTATAAGAAGAGATGATCGTGTGATACTGACCAGGTACAGTGAGATGCTTCACAAAAGCCACGTCTCCAGCATCCTCCACCAGACACCTATTAAAAATAGACCAACCCACAGGTGGAGAGAGAGAGCAGGTTTAAAGAAAAGCATCAAATGAGATTAAAAAAAATGTCACAGGATTACAGACTGAGCTGTGACGGGTTATCATATTTGGAAGATTAATGTGTAGAGGTTGATAAAAGTCATAGTAGAACTGCAAAAAAAGACTGATACTGACTGGAAGGCTCCGGCGTAGTCATAGTAAGGCTCCCTGTGGGACCTGGAGCAGTCTCCCTTGCACCGCTCACACAGTTTGCTGCCCCTTGCTGCCCCTGGGGCACAGCTGGCTGAGAAGTAGTTGCTCACCGCTGCAATAGATTTTAGGAAAAGGCCACCAGTGAGCAGAAAGTTGTGACGCGTTTATGGTGAAACATCTTAGTCGGGGTTAGGATTAGCAGCCTAGAGGGCACTTTAAAACCATGTTTTATCTACCACAAGGGCATCCAAGAGGCCTACTTATACAATTATTCACTTCCTTGTAAAGAGTTGGATAAGAAGATTGATACCACTCAGCTAGTCTGGTTCTGTCCAAAGGTAACAAAAGGTTAATCAAATTTAGCATTTGGTGTAACTCACCCTCCTCCACAGGGCTGTCTTCAATGCCTGACCACTGAATCAAATTCATGGACAGCAGAGTTCCTATGGGAATGTTCCAGCCTGCAGATTTTCCCAACCCAGTATGGCAGGATTTCTTCCCGCGGAGGTCTCTAATTCCAAACCCGGTGCCCTTCTTCACCACAGCGACAGCGTAGTAACAGGTGTCCGTAGCTGGATGTGTGCAGAACAGTTGTGAGCAAAAAGTTAAAACGTGTTGCTCGTACAAAATGCCAGACAACGTATTTCTTGTGCTAATTTCATCAGTAAGACTGTAAACATACAGTCGGTGCCGTAGTCCTCAGCGAGGATGGGATGCAGGTCGTAGTTGTTCAGTCCAGCAGTGTAGATGTCCCCTCCGTCCAAAGTGATGGCATCTGCTTCACCGGCCTGATGGTAAAAAAAAGAAAACACTCAAATTGTTGCCAACCAGCGTGATGTTTGATCTCTCCAACAGCTCCAAAATATATGCAGAATGTTTTAGTACATACTTTGTTGGTAATTAAATGCAGTGGTGAAAAATGACACATGTATTAAAGCACTGTATTGTTGTACAGTGTTGAGATACGTGTGCTTTACTTGAATACTTTATTGTAATGCTACTTTATACTTATATAATACCCCACTACACATTATTATAGGAAATATTGTAATTTATGCTCTTTTACATTGATTTTACATCTGGGGTTGATAGTAATTTTGCATCTATACAAGATTTAAATAAAACACATGATTAAATATGATAAAGCAGCTCAACCAGCCAAAACAAGATGCTACTTACATGTTGATGCATCAAAAATAATATATGTTAATATATTATTATATATATAGAGGACTTTTACTGTGTATAGCCTACTTTACATAGATTTTGTTGATATATAAAAGTATATTTTCTAGTTACTTTGCAGAGTAGCATTGTAAAAACAGTCATCAAAAACAACTATAACTTCACCAGCTACAGGATTAAAATGTTGTTTACAAAGTATTACATCAGTAATAATAATACTAATTAAATTACAAGAGTTTAGTTTTATTTATTTTTTTAATACTTATATATTAGTATATTTTGCTGGTAATGCTTCTGTACTTGTACTGAATAAGATTTTGAATGCAGGACAGGAATGTAGGCTATTTTTACATTGTGGTATTTATATTCTTTTATAAGTAAATAATCAGAATTCTTCTTCCACTACTAGTTAAATTATCATTTTGACCATTGCAATATCCAAAGATTTACCACTTTTATGGGATTACATTTAAACGTTAAAACTGAATCCATGAAGACATTATTGTAGCCTATATTTGTGCTCTGGATGATGTTGCTGCCCTCACCTTAATTGCAATGATGCAGTCGATGGTGTTGTCTTTCTTCACGCAGGCAATCGCGGGCGCTTTGGCTGCGAGGTCCGTACATTTCCGAAATTCTTGGTCCGACTTTACGCACCATTTCACCTTCTCAGCGGGGGCCGCGAACACGGTGGCTGCAAATGCAATTGGATAAATGATAAATGCAGATACAATTCAGCATTTAAAGAATTTATGATTTAATAAAAAAATTTAAAAAAGTCTTTACCGAGGCACCCGAGCAGGGACACGAGGAGGAGAGTCTTCATGCTGGACGGTGGGGTCTCCAGGTCAGCAGAGCAGAGTGGGAGGCAGCTCGGGCTTTTATAGCAAACCCCTGACTGAGCTGCACAAAAAACACAGTTTGCTCAGGTTTCCTAATGTGTGTGCGTGTGTTTGTGTGGGTGTGTGTGTGTGTGTGCGCGCGCGCGCGCGTGTGTACTTTTGTGTGCTGGTACACGGAGATGGCAGGGAAACAAAGATTAGTCCGAAATGTCCACATGATGGAAATTCACAGATTCCTCTCCAACTATTCAACCATTGTTTGCACAAATCTGAAAATCATTCAGAAGAGCTTAAAAGAGTTTTATATTCAGGATTTAAATAATTTTTGTGTTTGACGATTTACTTGAATAGACTTGATTAACTCAAATTGTTTTAATCCAGTTTTCATGCATGTTGCATGTTTACTTTGTATTTATTTTTGTGTTCATGAACTTCTTGTTTTGTTCTGTGTTCCTGGTTGACGGCTTCTCCAGTTTCCCTTTAAAGATAAATAATGCTTGAAATGATTGATTGATGTGTTCATCAGGCTTTATAGGTTATAAAGAACAAATACACAAGAAAGTTAAAGTGAACTTCTGCTGTGCAGTAATACCAATATGCAGCATTAACCAGTTGTGGAAGGAGTAATTAGACAAAAACAAAATACTCAAGCAAATATTACTTCAAGTATCTAAATTATGGAACCAAATGGCTCCTGTCAGTGTTATATTATTATATATCATATTATTGTGATCTTATTACTTTTTTATTAATGTGTGAGCAACATTTGTAGTTGTCAAGTTGGAGCTAATCTTTTTTACTTTATATAAAGTTGGTTAGTTACAGCTACAATTATATCCATAATATATTATATTATATAACTACAGCTGTCAAATGAGTGAAATGCAATGAGTAAAAGTGCTGCTGCTTCATATCCTTCTACTAAAATTACAGTATTTGATAGTTTTCATACTGTAACCAGATGTGACTTGAAAAATACAGTTTTAGAAGACATTACAAAACCTGAAGTTATGTATTGGATTATATTATTGCTTAGCCACTTTAGGCACAATGGTGAATGGCCCTGTCACATTAGTCAAGAAAAAGGCAACAAGTGTGTGATTTTTTTTTTTTAAATGTCTTGCTGTATTTCACTCAGAAAAGCTGCAGCCTCACCCACATAAGAGTCGTGTTTACAGAGTCAATGTTACCCAACACAAGAGCAAAGGTTCCTGTTGATTTATAAATTGAACAAATAACAACTCCTTCTTTGTTTTCAGCTGCCAAATTCTGAAACATAATTGAATGAATTTCACAACAAATTTCGTGTTTCAGGAGGGGCCTTCGGTGGTGTAACTTTGGAAAACCCGAAATGTGATACTGGACAATGATGGGTCACATTTTTACACTGCTTGCACTGTACCGTGTAACCTAACCTAACCACCTAATCCTTTTAGATAAGAGGAGACATTTCTGGAATATTACAATTCAGGCACCGTAGAAATTGATAACTAATAGAGGAGCCTTTTACTAAGATGTTCCCAGGTTTTATATGTCTCTTTCTCACTTAATATTTAGATGATCTTCTACACTGATCAGTGTCTACTGTAAAGAAAATACACTGATAAATAGTCTAATAACATTAAAACCTGTTCAAAAGAGATTTTTTTAGTAGTCAAGCTGCAGGTGGTAGAAAGCATAGATAGATACCTAAGATATTCAAGGAGATGGAGTGCAGGAAAATATGTAATTTAAAAATATATCAGTAAGTATATTAAGTATTAAAGCAGCTAAATCTTTGTTCAACGGAATAAAAAAGGGGAATCAGCACATTATGCAACACTTTATTTGGGTAGTTAATCAGGTGTCTCAATCATGTTCTGCTGAATCATGAAACCCTGACCCCAGCCTCACCCTGCCATTGCCAAATCTTTATTTTCTCTCCCGTCTACTGAGATAAACTCAGTCATTTTAGTGACATACTGTGAGTGGAACAGGGGCTCATGAAAGCAGTGACTGCTGTGAAAGTTACACTTGAAATTGACATGAGTCAGCTTGATGCTTTCTCAGTTCAATCTTAACCAACATGTTCAGACACTAGACTGTGCAGGCAGTGTCTGAACGTGTTGATTAAGATTTCATTTCATGTTAAAGCCTGAAAACAAATGCTGAACTTTATTTACTGCTGACAATAAAATACTGTGACGAGGTGTTAACTGTGTTTCCAGCTTATTCCAGTTAGTAACATCTCCTGTCATTCCTCACCTGTCCACCAGTGTGTTTGCCAGTCATGTGACTGTCACACCTGTTTCCAATAACAGTCATCACACCCAGTATTTATACTCCTCAGCCAGGAGTCACCTGATTGTCTATATTGCTTTAAATTTCCATCACTGTATTTGATCTACTCTCCTGTGTACCTGCCTGCTCTTAGCCACTGGTTTTGTCTGCTGCCTTTACGGTATTATTGCTCTCTGACTGATTAGAGACTGTATTTGCCGCTTATTATCTGGCTTGTGAGTGTGGATTTGAGTCTTTATCCCTGTGCCAGTTTCCTGAACCTTCACAGATTACTGTGCCTTTGTCAATCTGTGCTGACACTTCACTCAGCAGCATTACTGTAATGACACCTCTTGATAACACTGCTGGCAAGCCAATAACATTACTGTGCTGTACTTAGTGCACAAGTTGACATTTACAGCGTGCATTAATTATACAAAAATCAGGCACTGTTATTATTCTGTTTCTGTTCATGAGACAAAAACACTGGATGTAGGAATTAAAACAAAGAAGTTGGTGATAAAGTTTTTGATTTATATATTTTATAATTTTGTAATCCAGTTTCGTGAAATGTCTCTCGGACTCTCCTGACTGGCTGCATGTCTGACAGTGATTACAGTCCACGAGGCCATCTTGACTGTGCTAAATCAGAGCGGATAAGCTTATCATCAATGATTGTTCTCCTGAACCTGCAGAGCAGGGGGTTAACAGGGCATTGTAAGCTGGACATTACACACAAACACACTTTCAGCCTGTGACTTAGGGCTCTGTGTGGTGTGCTGAGCCTCATGTTACAGGAAATAAATGTTTTATGTTACACAGAACTAAATCCTTCAGATTATTGTACAAAATGCCTGGAAATGTGCTTATAATGACTTCCTTGTAAATCAGGAAATACATTTTTTTCCACAATGTTAGGAAGTTATTCACAGTGACAGTAAGTGATGAGCTTTAGCCACTCCTTGTAGTGGTGGGAGGGCGGAGTACTCAGATACTTTACTGCAGTAAAAGTACCAATACCGCAATCTAAAAATACTCCATTACAAGTAAAAAGTATTATCAGCTAAATGTACTTAAAGTATCAAAAATAAAAGTAATTGTTCTGCAGGAAAATGTCCCATGTGTGATATATTATTGTTACAATATTCTAATACTGATGCATTAATGTAGCATTTTACTGTTGTAGCTGGCAGAGGTGGAGCTGCTTTTAACTACTTTATATACAGTTTAGTAGTTTAATCCAGTAGTTCACAAACTCCAAAGATAAATCTGAGGGACCGTGAGGTGAATGATGGAGTACAAAAGAAGAAACATGCTAAATTCTGCCAAACAAAATGAGTAATATTCTCTAATTGTTGCTTTTTTATGAAATATTGGATAGTTTTACATCTTTGAGCCTCTAACAATGATCATAATTAAACAATCTGAGAGGTTATGGGGTAAATCTTTCTTGCTCACAAATGACTCACTTTACTTTTTTGTAAAGGATCTGGAGCTAAAAAGGCTGGGAACCACTGGTTTAATCTTAATGATTAAATGTTTTTTTATGTAAAATCTTCAATCTTCAATCTCAGAAATGTAACTAGTAGCTATAGCGGTCAGATAAACGTAGTTAAAAAAAGTAAAAAAAAAAAAAAAAGTTTCCCTCTGTAATGCATTAGAGTAGAAGCATCAAATATCATAAAATGTAAATACTCAAGTACATCATATTTGTCTTTATGTACAGTAAATGTACAAACTTAATGTTACTTTCCCCCACTGCACCAATGTAGGTTGAAGCTTGAGAGGAAGGATGAACATCCTTCGCCTCAGTTGCAACCCCTCAATCAACTCCTTAAAAATGTCTCAAAAGTCATTTTGTTTATTAGGTCTTTCACTTTGTTTGAACACAGTGCATTTGATTTGAAGTACAAAAGTAATATTTTATTTATAGTTAGATCAAGCTGGTTTGCAGGATGGGAAGGACCGCAAACAAAATTTCACCAGAGACTCTGGCGATTAAAATCTTCCAGCTACAAATGTACTCTCCTGTCACCTGTGTATATTACAGTTGAGGGACTCACCTGGAGACTTAAGATTAAGAAAAGAATAGTAAAAATCAACTTTTAACTTCAGAAACAATGAATCCTACATTTCCCACAATGCAACTCAACAGCATCTTTCATCGGACCCTCTTGCCTCTTAAATACCCACTTCCTACAAACTTCACATCTCCAGTTTGTAACTCTGGCTTTCTGTTCCAAGCAGAAAAATAATGATGCCTCAGGCCCTAAAATAAATAAATAAAATCATCTAGGTTATTTTATGAAAGTATAAATCTCCTCCAGAGACGCAGAGGACATTTCACAACTGAATTCACAGGCTGGAGCAGGCCTCCTTGTGACAAATGAAGTGAACTTTGTGTGTAAAATCGACGGAGAGCCCGTTTAAACTCAGCCCCCACATGGCTCACACATTAACTTCCATTGACTTTTCATTCTGAGAACTAGTTGAGATCCATGGATGACTGGGGTCAACACCCTTTTTATGCAAGAGACAAAACCTCAAACAAAGCAGGGCAGCCACTGTCCTGGTTACCTCATTAACCTTTATGCACTAATTAATAAATTTAGGTTTGAATGCAGGTTTTCACTCCTCAACATCAGCAGTTTTAAGTCTGTTAGTATATTGGAATGGTTCTTATAACCTTGAGCTCCAAAATCTGCAAAACATCAAAACAAGCTCCATATATAAACTGTGTATTTGAAATGTAAATAGTGATAAAGGTGACATTTTGAC